GCTGCTCAGTTTGGAGGGTCAAAGGTCCAATCGTGCTCTCAGTCTTCTGTATATCTGACTTCTGTTTCTTGATTTTGCCACTAAAAAGTGAAATGTTTAGTTTCTGACACTTTAAGTAGCCGCAAACCTCATATCAGCAACTGTACTGTGACAGCTGGGGTCTGTGTTTCAGTAGCTGACAATTACTGTAAGTGCCTGGAGCTCAAGTGATATGAGTCATGAAAAAATAAAAACAGATCCAGATCACATTTGTGCAAAGCATCTGGCAGCCTGCTAAGGTGCAAATATGTGGGCGGGCATCAGCCGCAAACAGGAAGAAACAGGAAGAAAAGGATTAGTCATGTGAATATATATATATAGATATATGTATATAGGTTGTGCATTTGAGTGTGAGAGCAGGTAGGGTGTGTGCTGCACAGATTATTATGCAATGTGACGTCTGTGTGTTGAACCTCACAGCTGTTGAGTCGTGTCTGCTGAGTCAGCCGCCCATGTTTCATGATTACCCAGAGGTTTAGCTCTGCTGTCAGGAGCTGCGAAGACTGATTGACCACTGTCCTCTCCCTCTGGTTGTAGATTTATTGTCCTGCTGCAACAGGAAAGTGATCGTCGTTCGTTTCTGATGTTTTTCTGTACATGTCTGTGACTTTGCCTCAAGTTAGGAAGAGTTTTTTTGTTCACACATAAGATTACTTAAACAGCTATTTTAGTTTAATGCCAAGTAAAAAGATGACATTTTAATTCAGTTTTAAGACTGTGTAGCTGTTTGTCTCTATACATTCAATGAATAGCAACACCTTATGCTTAACTTTTAAAAAAAACAAAAACAAAAAAAGACCCGATCTTCTTTTAAATCCATCAGCATCATGGCCTATAATAAAACTGAAATTCAAAAATTTTGTATTATAGGTGAATAAATCTTCTGTCTAGTTGTCACAGATCTAAGTAAAAGGATGATAATATGATTTAAGATGATAATATGATTATTTTTCAAAAATGTAAAATTGTAACAATTTGTAACAATATTTTTTTTTACTATTATTTTGCAAAATTTTCTCGGTTTTGTTAAATAACAGATAACACATGGATAAAATTCCATTATTAATCATCATTATGAATTAACACATTGACTGTAATTAAAAAGATTGCAGAAAAAACATTAAAACTGTACTCTATTGCCCACTTTTTAAAAAACTATGTAGTAATTTGTTCTTTTACCACGTGTGACCATAAAATTACATAGTTTTACTGCATTTAAATCAGAAAATACCATATTTTACAGATATCTTGCACCCTTGCTGCCAGATTTTAACTTTTTTTTAACTTTTACAGTGTAGTTATGAACAAACCTTCACACTAAACTGAATGTAGTGGGATTTTAAAGTGATCCATATTTCCCATAAATGCCGTTTAAACCACAAGAGGTACTGTAACTGATG